CAAGTCTCAACTTGTCATCAGCCTTAGCCTTACGAAGAATCCTGCGACAGGCCTCCTCCTCCTCCTGGTATACCCTTTTGTCTATTTGCCCCAGTACCCATTTCCTGTGGAGGTTCCTCTTTTGTCTAATCCCTCTAACCACCTCCTTTCGCATCCAAAGATGTCGATGTTCAGTCTTGTCATCTCTTGTTTGACCACATCCAGCTTGCCTTGATTGATGAATCTTACATTCCAGGTGCCTATGGAGTATAGATCTTTACAGCACTGGACTCTCCTTTCACCACCAGATGCATCCGCAACTGCGTGTCCTTTCAGCTTTGACCCAGTCGCTTCACTCTTTCTGGCTCTACTAGTACTAGCCCTCTGCTTTCCCCAGTAGCATACTGGACACTTTCCATCCTGAGGGGCTCATCTTCCGGCGTCCTATCTTTTTGCCTTTTGGTACTGTCCATGGGGTTTTCATGGCAAACGTACTGGAGTGGGTTGCCATTTCCTTCTCCAGTGGATCAGAGAGCATAGACCTCTCTGCTATGACCTGTCCGTCTTGAGTTGCCCTACACGGCATAGCTCATCGCTTCATTGAGCTACACAAGTCCCTCCACCATGACAAGGCAGTGATCCATGAAGGGGATTCCAACTCTACTATTCCATGAGTCTGCGATCTAGGGCAGGGGTCAGCAACCTGCGGCTCCGGAGTCGCACGTGGCTCTTGAACCCCTCTGCTGGGGCTCCGTCGCTCAAAACATGCACGGGCACAGCCACTGATCTGCTCCAGAGAAACTCCACTCAGGAACACAGCTCTAGCTAATCGCTGCATTCCTCTGCTAAACAAGCTTCCCTGCAGGCTCTCATGTTACAGGAAATGCTGCTGAAAGGATCCTCTTTGTCCCAATGTCATCTCCTTCCTCTGAATGTTAAAAGCTGCACTTGGGACCTGTCAGAATTCACAGCACTTGACTGTTGATCTGCTAAGCAGTCACGAAACACACCTAGATCTCCCGCACAGCGGATCTGGGGACCCTTGCTGATTTGCTGAGCTGCCCCCTGCCCCCCACCCCCCATAGGCCAACCATGGATAAATTGAAGAAAAGTTTCTGAAGGAAACCAAATGTTTAATGATACCTGGGTAGATTCATTTGCTTTTACTGCTGACGAACTTTTGGGGTTTGCTGCTTAATACATGCAGCCCTTTAGCACTGACTTTGACTCTGCAGGAAGCTGTTCTCCTTTTCAAAATATATGAAAGGAGTCCTACTAGTAATAATGTATGATTAAAAAGAACAGTTTTTAGTGACTGAACAAGAGCTGCAGCTAAAAAAAGATCTATGCAGCGTTATCTTCATTTTAGATGTCAAAAGGGTTTTGTGGCTCCCGGTGTTTCCTTTTGCGTGGGAAACAGGTCCAAATGACTCTTTGAGTGTTAAAAGGTTGCCGACCCCTGATCTAGGCAGTTGGACTTGATGGCCTTCCTGGCCGCTTCCAACTGGTCTATTCTGTGACAGAACTAGAACCTGTGGGCAGAAATGTCAGAGAAGAGGATTTCAGCTCAACCTCAAGAAAACATCCCTAACTGGAAGAGCTGAGTAGCCCTGGAAGAGGCTGACCAGGGAGGTGGTGAGCTCTCCTTTGCTGGAGGTGGTACAGCAGACCCTAGATGGCCACCTGTCAGAGATGCTGAGGATTCATCCAGGATTACAGAACCTGTGTGGAGCAGGGGGCTGGACTAAATGACCTCTCGTGCCCTTCCAGCCTCTAAGACAGAGGACTGATTGGGGCTGAGCCCTATGGTGCGCCTGCCTCAGAGGCGGTTTGGGCCCCAGGACCTTCCCATCTTCTGTGCTGTCTGCAATACTGCGTCTTTCATTTGTTGACCGGAACTAATTGATGCCGCGACCCTTCTAGCGATTCTTGCTGACAGCGACATTTGGACAGGATGGAGTCCTTGACTTTGATCCCAAGAAGCTTGGGCCCCAAGCACAAAGACATTCCCAGGAAAGCCAGGAGAACCGGTGAGGGGAGGGACGAGATAGCCGAGCCAAAGTCGAAAGCAAAAAGCAGTCAGGCTGCCCAGAAGCAGTGAAATGGCCTCATAATCTAGGGGGGCCTCGGCCTCCTGCCAAACAAAACAAAACAAAAACCCCCAGAAATTCAGCCTTGATTTTATTTCATCTGTATTATGTCTTGGTGGCATGAGGTGCAGATGCAGTCGAGATATGCTAAAGACTGTAAAACATGGGGGTTTTATAAGGAATTAACAGCGTTTGAGCAAGCAATGATTAAATCAGATGAGAAAATGGTTAGAAGATTATATGACTTCTTACTTGATAGGAAAATGGAAGATGAACAAGTTAAGGGAACTATGATAACATGGGCACAAAATTTTGGATATAATATTGAATTCGAAAAGTGGCAAAAGCTATGGGAGGGAAATATTAAGGTAACATTAGCAAGTTCGTACAAAGAAAACCTATATAAAATGTTTTATAGATGGTATTTGTTGCCAAATCGATTAGCTAAGATGTTTCCAAATATGTCAAATAGATGCTGGAAATGTTAACGTAAACTGGGTACCTTTTATCATATGTGGTGGACTTGTGACAATGTGAAAAAGTACTGGATTAAAATACATAAATGGCTTGAGGAAATGCTACAAAAACCTTTAGCTTGTAAGCCTGAAGTTTTCCTATTAGGTATTATACCGGAAGATATTAACAAACAAGAAATGTATTTGACATTACATATAATTACTGCGGCGAGGATTGCACTTGCTCAACATTGGAAAAATGAGGAATTACCCACCGACGAACTAAGAAAGAAAGATTCTGGACTGTGCAGAAATGGATAGATTAACTTTATCACTGAAGGAGATAGAAGATACTGACTTCTGTCAAACTTGGGAACTTTTTTTATTATTGACTGGAGAAACGGGACTTGGCTTAGATTTAAAGATGTCTTTAAGTTGTTATAAATGGAGTTGATTATTTTATTTATTTATTTATTTATTTATTAAAACATTTTTATGCCGCCCCATTCGCCGAAGCCTCTGGGCGGCTTACAACATAGATAAAACAATTATGGCTATGGAATGTTAAAAATATGTAGTAGGGGGCTGACCCAGTACATCCGATGTATTTGATGATTGATGTTCTTAGTAGTCGTTTAAAAATCTTAATAAAAACCTTTAAAAAAAATTATTTCATCTGAAACAAAAATCAGGTGCATCTAGGTAAACGATGTCCTTCTGTGGTCAGCAATATCCTAAAATCAGCTGTCGGATCTATTTTTCTGGAGAGAAAATTATAAACTGCGGCTTACCGAGTTTCATTACGCGATGAGTTTGTGTCCAAAAAAGCCTGAAAAAAAAACCTGCTCTGACTTGGTTTATAATGTGATTTTATAACATAGCTAGGATCCCCCGATGAATGTTCTGTGCGAACTGCATCTAGTCCCTCTTTCTGTAAACTCATTAAAGTTATGCATGTTCAAACGATCCTTTTAGCAATGCTACGATTTCAGCCAAGGTGCAGAGGGTGGGCATGCCCGGAGCGGAGCCAGCTGCGGCTGGGGTCAGACTAGATGGCCCAGGAGACCCCCCCCCCTTCGGTCTCGCTCTGTGTTTCTCTGAGCGGAGTGTTTTCGGTAAATACACGAATAGTGTCCCCACCCCAACTCGCGGATCTTGGAGGGCTCCCTGCCTCCCGCAGAGAAACCTGCCTCGCTGCTCCCAAATCGGCGAGGGGCAGCGAGGAACCGGCCCCGCTGCCGCCAGGGGGCTCTTCCCGGCCCCTCCAGCGGCCGGCCGTCCTCCCCGCGCCCCATCAGCGGCGCCCCCCGACCCAGCAGCCTCCTCCCTGCCCCCCGGACCGGACGAGAGGAGGGGATCGCCCGCACAGGCAAGCGTGGCTCCCGCCCTGCCTGGACTGCGAGGGGGGAGTGGGGGGTCGTGATCCTCCTGGAAGGGGGTCGCCCGGCCCTGCGGAGCTGCAGCGCCGGCCTCCCGCGGGGGCCCCGCACGGCCAGAGCGAAGCTCCGCGCTGCCCTTGCCGGGCCGGGGGAAGATTAAGAGGAGGGGGGGTGGGAGTGCCTCGCTCCCAGTTCCCGCACTGGGAAGAGAGGCGGCCGGGCTGCGAAGGGTTAAGGCTGGGGGAGGCAGCTCGGGCTTCCTGGAAGGGCGGGGGGAGGGAGGGGGGAGGGGAGGGGAGGGGCTGGAGCGGCGGCGGCGGCGGCGGAGGGGCTCTGCCCGGGATCCGAGGGGCCGGGAGCGCTGGGAGCATCCTCAGCTGACCCCCCCCCCTCCCGCCGCGCTGTCCGGGATCCCGTGAGTGCAAGCGCATTGGGGCAGGGAGCTCGCAAGGAGGGGGGCGGGGCGGGAGCGAAGGGCGCCCAGGCGGCGGGGGGAGACACACATCACGCGGAGGCAACAAAAGGCGCGGGGGGGCGGTAGGACTGGGGGCCCCCATTCTCCCCAGACGTCCAGGCTACTCAGCTGGGACTCCCGTGCGAACCCTGCGCCCCCTCTGGGGTCCCTTTCCCTTTGTAGAGGCAGGAGGACCAGGAACAAAGGCGACCCCCCTTGCCCCGGAGCCGCTTTCGCGGACGATCTGTGTCTTGGGGGGCACGAGGGGGTGCGGCGGGCCCCCTGGTGGGCAGGGGAGCCCCGGCCTGGGCTGTTCGTGCCCCACTGGCATCTCCCTCCGCACACATCCCCCCTCCCGATCGGGAAGGCTGAGGCTCCCCGGTCCTCTTGTAGGGCATCTTTGCCTTTGGGGGCCAGAATGGGGAGAAGCCCTTGCGCCTTGGGCCCTGCCCCATCCAATTATTTATTGATTGATTTATTAAAACGTTTTTATGCCGCCCCATTCGCCGAAGCCTCGGGGCGGCTTACAACATAGATAAAACAATAAGTTAAAATACCCATATCATTAACGTGGTCTTCTTGGCAGGAGCACAGGAGAATCCCCCCCCCCCGACCCCTTGCCTTCTCCGAGGCTTCCGGAAGGATGGAGATGGAGCAGCAAGGCATCTCTCCCTCCGGGTCTGGAGGAGTGCCCCGTCCCACCCCGACCGGGAGCAGCAGAGGGTTCTGGGACAGGACCGTGCAGAAGATCCTAGGGGGGGATGCGGCCGGCTCCGACATCCAGCGCCGGCGCTTCCGGCAGTTCTGCTACCTGGAGGCCGAGGGCCCCCGGGAGGTGTGCAGCCGCCTCCACCATCTCTACCGCCAGTGGCTGAAGCCCGAGAAGCACACCAAGGCTCAGATGCTGGACCTGGTGGTCCTGGAGCAGTTCTTGACTGTCCTGCCCCCAGAGATGGAGAGCTGGGTCCGAGAGTGCGGGGCAGAGACCAGCTCACAAGCAGTGGCCCTGGCCGAAGGGTTCCTCCTCAGCCAGGCAGAGGAAAAGAAGCAGGTGAGGGCACGGACCATGTTTCCCGAAAATAAGACTGGGTCTTAGAAGAATTTTTGATCCAAAAGATGCACTAGGGCGTATTTTCTGAGGATGTCTTATTTTTTCATGAACAAAAATCTACATTGTTCATGGACAAAATTCTACATTTATTCGTGAACAAAAATCTACTTTGAGTCACGTCATCTTCTGGAACATCGTCCTAACTCTCTAGACCCTGAATTGTGTTGCAACAGATGTCCGAAATGCGTCCGCCTGGCTGATGATCTTTCTATTTAATTCTATATTAATATTATTCTTTTAGAATTCAATCCATCCATCATGGGTTGCAAGGGATATCCTAAATGTGTCCACCTGGCTTATGAGCTTAACTGGGGCTTATTTTTGGAGTAGGGCTTATATTCCGAGCATCCAGAAAAATCATGCCAGGGCTTATTTTCCAGTTAGGTCTTACTTTCAGGGAAACAGGGTAGTTCCCCAACCAGCTCACTCAGTTCGTAAATACCAATGTGTATTACCGGAAACAGGAATCCAAAGCACTTGTATATCGTAGCGAATTTCCCCATTCATTCCGCAACCCCAAAATATTCATTAAAATTATTACAATACTGTACTATTTTGGATTGCAAGTAGGAGACCCTGCCCCGCTTTGACGTAATCGTGGAAGCAGATTCTATCCAAATGACACATATTAGACCTGGTGCAGGGCCTTCTCTGTGGTGGCACCCAGATTGTGGAATGTGCTCCCCAGAGAGGTTCGCCTGGCACCAACTTTATTATTATTATTATTATTATTATTATTATTATTATTATTATTATTATTATAACATTTCTATGCCGCCCCTTGCCGAAACCTCGGGGCGGCTTACAACATGATAAAATACAGTGTCAGGCCAACCCCTTCTTATTTGACCATCATTTTAAGGATTTTAGATGTTTGAAGGTTTAAGATTACAGACACATTTTCTTTTCTTTTTTTCTTTAGTTTTGTGGAATCGACTGTTATTTATTGTTTGCTTGTTATTTATTGTTTTCATGATTGGACTGTTGTATTACTATTTTAATTATCGGAAGGCGTCCTGAGACATTTTATTGGGAAGGACGGAGTATAAATGTTTCAAATAAATACATAAATATTAATCATCCAGTTTTTTAAGGTACCATATTAAACTGCTCACTTTCTAGACGCAACTGTTATTATTGGGATGCAGAAGAAATGGTCCTGTTAGAATAGTGGTTGTCACAAACAGGGCAGTAGCTTCAGCGGTTCTTTAAGGGGCCTCAGTGGCTTGGGGAATATAGAGATCTCACAAAATGAGGAGGTGAGCCATTTCTCATTCTGCTTTTGTACTGATGCTCTAGGATTGTAAGCCATCCTGGGACAATTGGATTATATAGGACAGGATAAAGATATTCTTAAGAAATCAATATATGGCCTTGTAGGATGAAAAAAACATTTTAGGCACCATACGATACAAAATATTAATGTTATGTTATGTTAGTCATGAACTCATGGCCGACCCAACCTGACTCCGTGGACAACCTTTCTGTCTCCTTTTGCCCTTGCTTGTTCCCAGCATCTCCAGGGAGTCGTTCCTTCTCATCAGGTGGCCAAAGTATCTGAGCTTCGTCTTCAGGATCTGGCCTTCTAGAGAGCAGTCAGGAGTGATCTCCTCTAAGATGGACTGGTTTGATCTCCTTGCAGTCCAAGGGACTCGCAGGAGTCTTCTCCAGCACCAACAAAAGGATAAAGCAAATACCAAATATAAAGAAAAATCAAATTTCCTTTGAAAACCTTCGTGGCTGGTGTGAGGGAGACGAGGCAGAGGAGGGCAATTGTGGCGGATGCCTTTCGCGATCATAGAATCACGATTGGCTCGAGGGTATCTTTTTATTTCCGGGCAACTTTAACAGGAAAACTAACCTTTCCACCAAATGCTGCCGCTGAGCCCGAGCATCCCAGCATGGGAGATGATCATCCACGATCCCACAAGAGAGATCAGGTGACTTTCGGCTGCACGTCCTCATCTTGCAAGACACCACTTGCTTCTCAAGTTAAAATCCTTTAGGATGTTTGCTGGTCTTGCAGGACACTCACAGAACAAGTGGCTCATAATCCCTGGTTTTACTGTATCTGCATTTTCTGCTTTTCCAGGAAGCAGTTTTCAGAATAACCAAATGCTTTTCAACCAACCTTTCCCTCTGTCTTCTTCGTTTCCTTTTCGCACTGCTTTGCCCGGGACTGTCGCATCGATTTCAGGTACCGGAGGCATCGGCCAAAGTGGCTGCAGATTTCTGCAAGGCAGAGGAGGTGCCCTCGGGCAGCAGGCTGATGCTGCTCTTCAGGGAGGCAGCGCAGGAGAATAACGGAAGTCCCCCCCCCGCTGGGTGAGTACCGCTTCTCTTGTGTTCTTTGAACTCCATGGACCATTTTGCGTTCCCACGTCTGCTCGGCGATGGGTGGGATCCTTTTCTCTGGCCTCAGCTGGCAGCGTAAAAATCAATGCAGTGTCAAGCACTGAAAACTTGAAAGCCACAAACAAGCCCTTTTGACTTATGCCTAATTGTGGAAGGATTGCTTCTGGACAGGCAACAGCATATGGAATCACAGAATCACAGAATACTAGAGTTGGAAGGGGCCATGAAGGCCATCAAGTCCAACCCCCTGCTGTTTCAAGACACCACATTACACCATCCCACTCAGAGGGCTGTCCAGTTTCTTCTTGAATGTCCCCAGTGTGGGAGAGCCCCCCAGCTCTCCAGGCAGCTGGTCCCACTGTCCTATTGCTCTGAGAGTGAGGAAGCTTTCCCTGATGTTCAGCCTGAATCTGGGTTGCTGCAGAGTAAATTGATTAGTCTGTGTCCTCCACTCTGGCATCAGCAAAAAGAGACCCTGTGACAGCCTTTGAGGGACTTCTAGATGGATATCATGTCCCCCCTTTCTCTTCTGAAGGCTGAACATGCCCAGTTCCCTCAGTCTCACCTCACAGGGCAGTGTTTCCAACCCTGGATCATTTTTGTTGCTCTCTGCTGAAACTCTGGCAAAGAAAACATTTTTACATGGGGAGGTGTATAAAGAGGAGGCATAATATCCAATCCTTGAAATTAAGCTAAAGTTAAAAAAAAACCCCTACAGCTGTCAGGAAAGGGGAATTTTTAAAAAATCAAAGCCCTGTTGAACGGGGAAACAAATATTTTAAATGAATTATCGGTGTTTTTAGCAGTGATGGGATCAAGGAGGACCTTTTTGGCAGCACTTTGGGGCTGCCACAGAAAGGCTCTGTCCCTCGTACTGGACTTTAGCCGTAGACTTCAGCCTCTGCCGATGCCCTCCCAAATTAGGCAGCATCCAATATACGAAGGCAATGCTTAAGATATAAGTGGAGGGATGCAAAGCCTCCCCAGATGATGCTAACAGGTGGGTGAGAGTGACCAGTTCAAATTCTGTGCATTTCTGTGCTTTAAAAGGGAGTAACAGCCACTGTGACCCAGGCCACCCTTCTGATAAGTCCCTTTCCTTCTCTCTCTAGCAAGCAGCTGTCTATCCCTGGGAATTCATTCCCGGCCTTCTCCGACGTGTGATGGGATGAAAGCAGTCTCAGCGCGGTTGCCGGATCAGGTAAGACCAGAAGAGCAGGAGAATCGGCCAGGGACTTTTTCTGGGCTGTGCCTCTTTCCTTTGGATTCCTCGAGGCTGCCCCAATGGAAAGTGCTAGAAGCAATGGGCAAAACTCGGGACTCTTCAGGAGAAGACTTTGTGCATGGTGACATCATCTGTTTTCTTCTTTCAGTGCCCTGTAAGCTTCGAAGAGGTGGCTGTCTATTTTACGGAGGAGGAGTGGAGCCTGCTGGATCCAGGCCAAAGAGCATTGCAATGGGAAGTCATGGTGGAGAACTATGGGAACCTGAATTCTTTGGGTAATTCTCCCTCTTCCTTATCTGTGCATGAATCCAGGGCATTTATATTTTCCCCTTCCAATATTTAATAAATAAATCCCATTTATTTATTTATTATGATGGATTTATTGGGTCATTTATTGTAAGCCATCCAGAGATGTCCAGTAATGGATGGGTTAGAAATACCCCATTAAGTGTGTGTGTGTGTTGTGTTAGTCACAAACTCATGCCTGACCCATCATGGCCCCATGGACAACATTCCTCCAGGCTCCCCTGTCCTCTACCTTCCCCGGGGTCCACCTAAGCTCACCCCAACTGCCTCAGTGACCCCATCCAGCCACCTCATCCTCTGCCATCCCCTTCTTCTTTTGCCCTCAATTGTTCCCAGCATCAGGCTCTTCTCCAGGGAGTCCTTCCTTCTCACTAGGTGGCCAAAGTATTTGAGCTTCATCTTCAGGATATGGCCTTCTAAAGGGCAGCTAGGGTTGATCTCCTCTAAGACTGACTAGTTTGATCTCCTTGCAGTCCAAGGGACTCGCAGGAGTCTTTTCCAGCACCCCAATTCAAAGGCTTCCATTCTTCAGCACTCAGGTATATATTTCCGCATGACAGCTTACAGTACTAATTCAAAGCCATAAGACCCAAAACAGCAGGATCCAGAATATGACAAGGGCAAAGTAAGAACCTTGCAAAATACTGGAGCTCCGATGAAGCTTCCGGAGCTGATTAATTAGTATTCAGGGGCAGCCCATCCTCTAAGGTGTGCCAGGTTCAGTTCTTTTTCAACCACCATCACAAGCACATTCAAACTTGCCATTCGCTGGTCCTATAACTCAGAGTGGACAGCATTCTCTAACCTTGCAAGGCCACACAGCTTTCCGCCAGACGAAGTCTCCACCATCCAAATCCTCTCGTTCCTCAGCCCCTTCTACAAAAAAGTCCCCCTCTTCTGATGGGACTGTGCAGCTTCCATGTCCACCTTCCGCACCCCACTTCAAGCCCAATGTCTTGTCTCATCTCCTTATCTGGAGGTTCCTCAAAGACCTCCTTGACCTTGCTCCACCAGTCTGACAGCCCAGCCCGCCGTGGAGTCTTTCTGTCATCCTTCATGAACTTGACAAATAGCTGAGTTGGAAGAGGCCGTCAAGGCCATCAAGTCCAACCCCCTGCTGTTGCAGGACACTATGTTACACCACCCCACTCAGGCGGCTGCCCGGTTTCTGGACAGAAGATTGATCCACCTTATCTCACCTTCCACAAAGATCCAGTGGTACTCTAACTTGATTCCACTTTTCTAGTGAAAGTCTCCTCTGCCTTTCGCATTGACAAGCCCATTGCACTTCCAGCCTTCCAACCCTGTTGGAAGCTAATCCTCTGCTTCTTAGGCCTCTAGCTTTTATAGGGCCAGGTCATAGCCTACTCATAAATCACAAAGACTTTATTATTATTATTATTATTATTCAATTTATATCCTGCCTTTTTCCTACAAAGGGCTCAAGGCAGCTTACATCATTCTCCTCCTCCATCTTATCCCCACAACAACAACCCTGTGAGGGAGGTTGGGCTGAGAGTGTGTGACTGGCCCAAAGTCACCCAGTTGGCTCCATGGCCGAGCGGGGACTCGAACCCAGATCCTCTGAGTCCCAGTCCCACGCTCTTAACCACTACGCCACACTGGCTCTCGACTTCATTGCCTACTATGGCGATGACCACCTAATGGAGATGCTCCAGGCTGATTTCATGGGGGCTTGCTAAGTGGATCTCTCACGTGATCCACCCCATTGGCCTGATCCATGTACGTTCCACCAGAGCAACTCCACAGCCACATACAGCAGAGAGTCTTACCGATCTCTGTTGAGCTGTGAGCTGATTGAACCCGTAGCCCTTCATTCACCACTCTCCACTAGATGTTCGAGCTACAATGCATGGCACTTTTTGGTTAGGTTGGGGTTTCAGTGGGAAACCCCTAGTGCTGGGTATGCCTTAGAGGAAGGGCACCCACCAAACCGGGAACCCTCCATGAAAGAAATTAGGAGAGTAAGTACCCGGAGGAGGGCTTTCTCTGCGGTGGCGCCCAACCTATGGAATTCACTCCCCAAAGAGGTCCGCCTGGCACCGTTGTTACTGGTTTTTCGGCGCCAGGTAAAGACCTTTTTATTTAAACATCATTTCAATTGTTAAAACATACGATCTGGCCAGGGCAACTTCTTCTTCCTTCTCTTTCTCCTCCTATATTTTTATTTTATACTGATAATTTTATTTTTGTAAATCAATGTATTTTTTGTATTTTTATATTTAATGGTAATTTATTATGTACTATTGTATTTCAATGTATTTTATCATGTTGTAAGCCGCCCCGAGGTTTCGGCAAGGGGTGGCATAGAAATGCTATAATAATAATAATAATAATAATAATAATAATAATAATAATAATCAGCTTTGGAATCCTCTCGACTGATATCCACACATGCACACAAACCCCATTTGCTTGGGACCAGGATGCCTGAGGAATGTCTCCTTCCCTGCATGCCCTCAAACCCCTTCAGATCCGCAGGGGAGCCCTTGCTCCGGGAATCCCCTTTGAAGGAGGTAAGAAGGGTGTCTACCCAGAACAGGGCCTTCTCTGTGGTGGCTATGGAATGCAAACTTATACTCTATTCGACACCAGGACATGACCTTTTTATTCAGCCATTATTTTAATAATTAAGAATTTTAGATGTTTTAAGATCTGATTACAGTCGCATTTTCTTTTCCTTTTCTTCCTTCCTTCGTTTTCTTTAGTCTTATGCAAGTGTTTGTTTTATGTTTGTCTATTATCTCTTGTTTTGATTACTATAACACAGTATTGTTATATTATTATTTTATCATTGCAAGCCGTCCTGAGCCGTTATCGGAAAGGATGGGATAAAAATGGTTTAAATAAATAAACAGACTTGCAGAATGGGATGCAGCCCTTGTGAATTGCATTTGTCCTCCAATCTGACACTCGATTCCTCGTATTTTTCAGGTGAAGCTATAGAGAGTATAGGAGTTGCTGAGCCACAGGGAAGGAGAGCTGAGAGACCCTCTCAGCCATGGCATAAGGAATCCCCTTGGTCGGAACAGGCCAGCTTCCCCAAAATTTCCCTCCAAGAAGAATGTTGGGTGAGTGACCAACGGCCAGCGTTCCCAGTGCGTATAAAATGCTCACCCGGCAAACTGGGCCTGAGAAGACACCAGAGAAGCCACAAGGGGGAGGCCGCGCTCAAGTGCCCCGAGTGTGGAAAAAGCTTCAACCGGCGCTACAGCCTCACTAGACACCAGAGAGTCCACACTGGGGAGAAATGGTGGACCTGCTCCGTATGCGGCAAGAGCTTTAGCCAAAGGTACCACCTCACCAGGCATCAAAGAATACACACTGCAGAGGAGTGGTGGATCTGCTCTGTGTGTGGCAAAAGCTTCCGCTGTAGCAACAGCCGGATAAGGCACGAGAGAATCCACACAGGGGAAAAGCCCTTCGAATGCTCTGTGTGTGGCAGGCGCTTCAGTGAGAGCTCAACCCTTTATAAGCACCAGCGGGTGCACACAGGAGAGAAACCCTATAAATGCACGGAGTGTGGGAAGAGCTTCCGCCAGAAGATCAATCTCACGCGGCACCAGACGGTTCACACGGGGGAACGGCCCTACCCTTGCGCTGAATGCGGGAAAAGCTTCAGCCAGAAGGTGAGCCTGACATTACATCGCACGATCCACACAGGGGAGAAGCCATACAGCTGCCCCGAGTGTGGGAAAAGCTTCACGCAGAGGATAAATCTCACTTCCCACCAGAGGACACACACAGGCGAAAAACCATATTGCTGCCCTGAGTGTGGGAAGAGCTTCAGCCGCAGCAATAGTCTGGCGGATCACTTGAAGCACCATGTCAGCGTCCAGTGTGCAGAGAGCCCCTCTGAAGAAAAGCCTCTGTTCGAGTGACCCTGGGAGGATTGGGGGCACGGGACACCCTGAGACAGCACCAGTTTTCCGTTCAAGGACTCCAGGCCATGTCCTGAAAAATCACTAAATCTTGCCCGATGTGCTATGCTGGATTCCTCCCCTTCCTAGCCAGCTTGATCAGGTTGGCAAAGCTGCTGGGAATTGTAGTCCAACACCTCTCAGGGGCACCAGGCTGGGAACCATACCTAGAGGAGGGGCTTCTGCGCAGTCCGGAGAAAGTATCAGGACAGCTCAGGGTAAAGATGCTTGAAATCCTGCAACAATTCCTATTCACCGGTGGAAACCAGAGAAGGTGTGAGGATGAGAATTGAATGGCCATCATCTGCGCCCCTGCCCCAATTGCCTCCAGTGCAATATATCTCCCCCCCAGCACAAAAGGGGTCTTGCAAATGGGGTGGGGAAGTGCCATCACAAAGGGCAAACCTTCAAAGCATGTGAAGTTCATTCCCACCCACAAGTGCCTGCTCCATTTTCACAATTTGCAGCATTTCATAGAATCCTGGAATAGTACAGTTGGAAGGGGCCATGAAGGCCATTGGGTCCGACCCGCTGCTGTTTCAGAACACCACGTTACACCATCCCACTCAGAGGGCTGCCCAGTTTCCTCTTGAATGCCTCCAGTGTGGGAGAGCCCACCACCTGGTAGCTGGTTACACTGCCATATTGTTCTGACAGTGAGGAAGCTCTTACTGATGTCAAGCCTGAATCTGGGTTGCTGCAACTTGACTTGATTATTTCGTGTCCTACACTCTGGCACCAGCAAGGAGAGATCTTGATCTTCCTCTTTGTGACAGCCTTTGAGGTCCTTCTAGAGGGATCTCATGTCCCACCTCAGTCTTCTCAAGGCTGAACATGCCCAGTGCCCTCAGTCCCTCCTCACAGGGCAGTTTCCAAACCCCGAATCATTTTTGTTGCCCTCTGCTGGACCCTTTCTAATGTCCCTGCATCTTTCTTCAATCTTGGTGCCCAGAACTGGATACAGGATTCCAGGTGAGGAGTACAGAGGAACTCCTCGTGATTTGGAAGTCATACTTCTGTTGATGCCTCCAAAAATAGGATTTGCCCTTTTGGTGACTGCATCGCACTGTGGGCTCATGTTTAGCCGATTGTCCACAATTACTCTGGGACATTTTTCTTGTTCAGTTCTGTTGAGCCACATATTCCCCATCTGGTGTCCATGCCTTTGGTTTCTTTTTCCTAGGTTATCCATCATCCTCTTTCTGTGAGGGCATTTCGTAAGTGCCCTGGGAGGGGTGGCATTGACGGAGTCCCTCACCTTTAGAGAAAAGATCAGTGTGGCCAATGTTAGTCTGGTTCCGGTTCCCACTGCGGCCAGCCACATGGGAAGTCCACAAGCAGAGAACTCTAATTCACATCCATTCTCTAGCCTGTCATCCTGGAGGTAGCAGAGCCAGGAATCTGTGGTTATTATTATTATTATTATTATTATTATTATTATTATTATTATTATTATTACATTTCTATGCCGCCCCTTGCCGAAACCTCGGGGCGGCTTACAACATGATAAAATACATTGAAATACAATAGTACATCATAAATTACCATTCAATATAAAAATACAAAAAAAGACATTGATTTACAAATACAAAATTAAAATGATCAGTATAAAATAAAAATATAGGAGGAGAAAGAGAAGGAAGAAGAAGTTGCCCAGGCCAGATCATATGTTTTAACAATTGAAATGATGTTTAAATAAAAAGGTCTACCTGGCGCCGAAAAACCAGTAACGACGGTGCCAGGCGGACCTCTCTGGGGAGTGAATTCCATAGGTTGGGCGCCACCGCAGAGAAAGCCCTCCTCCGGGTACTTACTCTCCTAATTTCTTTCATGGAGGTTTCCCGGAGAAGGGACTCTCCCGCAGATCTCAAAGGGCGGTCGGGCATATACGGACGTAAGCGCTCGTTCAGGTAGCCAGGACCCAAGCCGTTTAGGGCTTTGTAGGTCATAATCAACACCTTGAATTGCGCCCGGGCTTCAATGGGAAGCCAGTGGAGCTGACGGAGGACTGGAGTCGTGTGAGCATAACGCCCCGTCCCCGTCAGCAGCCTGGCAGCTCTATTTTGCACCAATTGAAGTGTTCGGACCGTCTTCAGGGGAAGCCCCACGTGAAGCGCGTTACAGAAGTCTAGGCGGGAAGTCACCTTTGTCAAATTCTAGAGCTAGGAAACAGATCTTCCGTGCACTTAGCAAGAACAGTGCCCTGAGCATGGACAGAGCATCTTTCTCTTCAGAGTCGTTGCGGCCCCGATCGGCAGAAGAGCTGGAGACAATCCTGTCTCCAGCACAACCTCTTGAGCCAAACGCACAGGTGGGTGCAGGAATTGCCTCCATTGAGTGGAAGGATAATAGGTTGGATCCTGGGTAGTCCAACCCAGCCCCATTGAGTTGAGTGGGGAGGAGGGCAACAAAGAGGTCTGGCTCCAAAGCGTGAGATACTGAGGGGGGTCCTCCTGATAGTTCAGCTGGAAACTCCCACCCACCTGCCAGCATAGCCAGTGGTGATGGGTGCTAGGAGTACCAGTCCAAGCAACCTTATCGCTTGCATTGTTGTGGCGTAGCCATAACCCATCTCTATGGAAATGGGTTGAGAAACTCGAGCCATTCAAGGTTCAGCAGATGACAGAAAGGATGGACGGGGCAGTGTTTGGAACAGGGAATGGTGTTCGAACATCCACTGTAAACACTGCCCTGTGAGGAGAGACTGAGGGAACTGGGCATGTTCAGCCTTGAGAAGAGAAGACTGTGGGGGGACATGAGATCCCTCTAGAAGGACCTCCAAGGCTGTCCCAAAGGGGAAGGTCAAGGTCTCGTCTTGCTGATGCCAGAGTGGAGGACACAGAATAATCCATTTAGGGTGGAGCAACCCAGATTCAGGCTGGACATCAGGAAAAGCTTCCTCGCTGTCAGAGCAATACAAGAGTGGAACCAGCTGACTGGGGAGGTTGTGGGCTCTCTCACACTGGAGAGACTCAAAAAGAAATTGGACATCCATCTGAGTGGGAGGGTGTAACGTGGGGACCTGCAACAGCAGGGGGTGGACCCAATGGCCTTTATGGCCCCTTCCAACTCTACTGTTCTGTGATGATATGATTTCGGCAAGGGGCAGCATAGAAATGGTCTAATAATAAATAATAATAATAATAATAATAATAATAATAATAATAATAATAAATAATTTCCTCTGCTTTGGGAAGCGTTTGGCTGCATTGGAGGTGTTGCAGAGAACAGCCAAGGCTGAACAAGCAGTTAACAAAATACCTGCTTTTGCTAAATGTATCAAGCATCATGTCACCATTTTTTGTATGGACACATCTGAAGGCCACCAAGTAGCTGCACCTCTGGACACCCAAGACAAAAATTGGGGTTTTATTATGAGCTAAATTTTAGCATGCCGTGTTTTAATTTATTTTTCTTACATTTTGCATTGGTAAACCATCCCGGGACTTTGGGAATGGAATGGTCTACAAAGTTTGAAATAAATAAATATTGTGGCAGCAGCGAAGAGGGGAGAACCAGCGTGGTCCTTGTCCTCAGCCAGAGGAGAAATTTCAGGGAGTCAGTTTCCCCTCCCTGCCATAAAAAAACACCCAACTCTGGTGCCTGCTTTTATTCTCTTCCATTTCCATCCCCTTTTCTGTTGTATCATGTCTGTTACATGGTCAACCTAAGCAGTTCAGAGACTCACAACATTTTAGATGGGGTAAAAATACCCAAATAAATAAATAATAAAACCTGGAGACAAAGACATGTAATCTTCTAATATCTGTACAGCACTTAGAATTCTCTGGGCTAAAGTGAAAATAATGGTAAGGAAGAGGAAGGAGAAACGAGATTCAGAGAGATCTGTCTTGGAAAGTCCAAGAGAAGCCACAATTCCCATTTCTTTGATATTTCAGGAGTTAATCTGAACTAAACTGGAGGAAGGATTTAGAGCCAGTTTTCTTGAAGAAGGCTATTCTTCCCCTTCATTTCTGTAGGGCGCCTTCCTTCACCCTGGACTTTGCTTTGCTTTCACTTCTCACTTTTCCTTGTTTTCAGCTTCCAGCTCGACCTCCCATCTGTTCCATTCCAGGAACATGTTTGGGGGAGGAGGTACAAATTTCGAACAGCACATGGGTTGCAAAAATACAGTTTGCATTCTTTCCCCTAATCCAGTACTCCTGTCCATGGCTAATTTGGAACTTAGGAAATAGCAGCTGAAGAAGATGCTGTGAAAACGTCGAATGCGGCAAGTGAAGCCAGCCTAACAAGTCTGCCATGAGAGTCCTAAAATTATTTAGTTCCACCCCTGCCTTAAGAATCTTTCAAAACTCTGCTATAGATTTCTTACTGTGTCCGGTTGTCAGTCCATATAAAATAAAGTGTATTATTAAAGCGTGTACTTTCATCCAGCCCTTCCATCTCACAGATCCAGTGAAGATTGGGGCAGCTCTTTGGTAATAGGAAGCTGCTTGGGGCAGAGACATACTTGTGGTCCCACAGTGGGGAAACAAGGTTAGTAGGCAGGAGGGTGGACAGGCCTTTTGGGGCCTGTGAAAATGTAAGCTGACCACAGCACTAGGCACCCCAGACATCTCAGAGACTCCAGCCTCCTGTACCCTTGGGGGCTGAAAGGAGCTGATCCATTGTGGCAGCTGGCCACAGTTGTGGCAACCGGTTAGACTACTGTAACGTGCTCTACGTGGGGCTGCCCTTGAAGACGGTCCCAGGTTGCTGTTGGGGGCCAGTTGCTATCCTCATAACACCGGTGCTCTCCTGGCTTCACTGGCTCCTGATTGAAGTCCAGGCCCAGTTCAAGGTGCCTTAAATGGCTTGGGACCAGCATACCGATACCTGAAAGAAAATCTTCCCTAGTTAGTTATTTAAAACATTTCTATCCCGTCCTTCCCGATAAACATCTCTGGATGGCTTACCGAGCTTAAAATCAACAACAATAATAAAAGTACAATCAGTAATGTAGTGGTACAATCAGTGTGGTGTCGTGGTTAAGAGCATGGGACTGGGATTCACACGATCTGGGTTCTAGTCCCCGCTCAGCCATGGAGCCAACTGGGTGACTTTGGGCCAGTCACAGACTCTCAGCCCAGCCTTCCTCACAGGGTTGTTGTTGTGAGGATAAGATGGAGGAGGAGAATGATGTAAGCTGCCTTGAGCCCTTTGTAGGAAAAAGGCAGGATATAAATCAAAAAATAAAATAAAAAAATAAAAAATAATACACCCTCCCACCCTTAAGATCTGCAGCAGAGGCACTTCTCCGGGAACCCTCCTTGAAGGTCGCCAGGAGAGCGACTCCCCGGGGTAGGGCCTTCTCTGCAGCGGTACCCTGACGTTCTATGTCGTTCAGCACCAGGTTGAAACCTTTTTATTTGCCCCACATTTTGAAGTTTTATTATTTTAATGATGCTTTTATCCCCAATCATGTGGTATTATGATGCATTTATTAGGAGGTTTTCTATGGTACACCATCCAGAGATGAACCAGAACGGACGGGATAGAAATGCCCCTTATAAATAAATAAACCTGAAGGGAGCAAGGATGGCACCAAACGGCCTGTTTCAAAGCTATGCGCAACTACCAGGCATCCCTGGACTACAGCTCCCAGGACCCTCCATCCCACAGTCCAGAGACCCTGGACCACGTTTGCTATGGCCATCCAGGCCCAGCCTGGCATGAGCAGCTGGGGATTTGGAGGGGTGCCAGCAGGTGGGGGTCAGCCAGAGGAAGCCTACCACCTCACTTGCCTGGGCAGGGGACATGTCACCCATCCTTGGGGTGCCAGCCCTGGGACTGCTGCCTGGGGGCTGCAGGAAGCCCCACGCATCCTGGCTGCCTTGGTTCGTGCGGTTGGTGCTGTTGGTGAGGGGGGAGCCTTGCCGACATGCATGAGGTGGGGGGGTGCTGTCTTCACAAGTAGGTCCTGGATCCCACTGGGCCAAAAGAGAATCACAGAATAGCAGCATTGGAAGGGGCCATGAAGGCCATCGAGTCCACCCCCTGCTGTTGCAGGACACCACATCACACCATCCCATTCAGAGGGCTGCTGTGTTCCTTCTTGACTGTCTTCAGTGTGGGAGAGCCCACCACCTCTCCAGGGAGCTGGTTCCACCCTTGTTTTGGTCTGACAGTGAGGAAGCTTTTCCTGATGTCCAGCCTGAATCTGGGTTGCTGTAACTTCAATGGGTTATTGTGTCTCCTCCGTTCTGGCATCAGCAAGAAGAGATCCTGTCACAGCCTTTGAGGTCCTTCTAGAGGGATCTTGTGTCCCCCCTCAGCCTTCTCTTTTCAAGCCTGAACATGCCCAGTTTGAACACCCTTTGAACACCCTCACCAATGGGTCCTCAACCACCTCCTGCGGAAGTCCACTCCACACCTCGGGGTCCTGTCAGGAAGTGCTTCCTGGCATCCAAATGGAACCTGGGTTCCCTGAGCTTGGCTCCGTTGGAGCGCGTCCCGCCTTCCTCTGCAGGGGGAAATGGGTCTCTACGTATCTCCGTGTGACATGGATACATGGGAGAGGGATATTATGACCCATCGCAAATACAAGCCTCCTGCCCCCTTTGGATGTTCAGATTCCCATCACTGGAGAAGATGAAATTCAAATACTCGGGCCACCTAATGAGGACGACTTGCTGGAGATGCTGGGAAGGACCGACAGCAGGAGATGGGAAGGCAGAGGATGAGGTGGCTGGAGCCACTGGGGTGGTGGGTGTGAGGTCTAGTGGACTCTGAGGACAGAGGAGCCTGGAGGAATGTTGTGCATGGGAATGTGATGGGTCGGGGGACAACTTTGCGACTGCCAACATCAGAGGAATGCGAAGGGATGAGAGGTCAACCCACGGGTGGCTCCAGTCAAGTCTCCCGCCTGCTCCCAGCTGCCGTTGCCTTCTCCCGTCCGGTTTAATGCAGTATTAAAGCACACCACCTCGGAACTCCCTGCAGCAGGCGAGCACATCCTTGAATGCAAGGGTGCCTTCACCCCGTGAGTCTGCACTCCCATAGTTCCTTGGGGGCAACAGGCATGCAGATAAATGCTACTTACCCTAGTTCCCTGAAAATAAGACCTGACCAGAAAAGAAGCCCTGGCATGATTCTTCTGGATGCTCAGAATAGAAGCCCTACCCCAAAAATAAACCCCGGTTAAGATCGTCAGCGAGATGGACGCATTTAGGATGTCCGTTGCAACCCACAATGGATGTGTTGAATTATAAAAGAGTAATATTAATATAGACTTAAACAGATGGATGCATTTAGGAAATCCATTGCAACACATGACAGATGTATTTAATTATGAAATATTAATATAGAAATAAATATGAATAAATAATATTGATATTAATGCTTAAAATAATTAATATACATTGATCAATCAAGTATTTGCAAATACCCACGTGGGTGCCACTGGACGCGAGGTGAACGCCTATGGAAACAGATGAACGCAAGACCCATTGCCAAATGACCAATCAGAAGACAGACACACGGATAATGTGCGCACTTCGTCACGAACGGGCGTGTTTCATAATTTGATACGTTGTGTGTTGTGATGGACCTGCTTCATGCACTTGTGTGTTGCCACTCCTGCCTCATAAGGCTTCAATGAACACCTGATCTAATGGTAGATTTAAAGGGAATCATATTTTGACCCCAGGACGAGATGAGTGCAAAAAGAACAAGTGATTCTGTCGAGGACAAGAAAGGGATTGTGGAGGCTTCTAGGGGCAAGAATCTCATGGCTCTTGGAAGCAAAAATAAGACATCGCCTGAAAATAAGCCCCGACGCGTCTTTTGGAGCAAAAATTAATATAAGACCCAGTCTTATTTTTGGGGAAACACGGTATTTATATACTTTCCCCTGGGTTGACATCATTAATAATGAAAGGCTGGACTTCACTGGGAGATTTTACCTCGTTAAGAGTCAGTATCTGCATTTATGGGGTCTTCCGCTCTATGCATTCGTCTGCGGTGTGACTCGAGGTGCCTGTTCTGATGGAAGCCCATGCCACAGTCGGAACATTTATATGGTTTCCCGCGGATGTGGATTCTTTGGTGTGAGTTAAGGTGCGTGCTCTGGTTGAAGCTTTTCCCACACTCAGGGCACCTGTAGGGCTTCTCATGCGTGTGGGTTCTCTGGTGCCTTTTCAGGTGGGGGCTCTGGTTGAAGCTTTTCCCACACTCAGTGCAGGTATAGGGTTTTTCTCCTGTGTGGATCCTTTGGTGCACCTTCAGGATCCTGGTGTCGCTGAAATGCTTTCCACACTCCGAGCAGGTGTAGGGCTTCTCCTGGGTGTGAATTCTCTTATGTACTTTAAGGCTCCTGCTATCGCTGAAGCTCTTTCCACACTCCGAGCAGGTGTAGGGTTTCTCCTGGGTGTGGATTCTCCGATGTACTTTCAGGCTCCTGCTATCACTGAAGTTTTTTCCACATGTGGAACATTTATAAGGTTTCTCCCCGGTATGGATCCTTTGATGGGATTTCAGGATGATGCGTTGACTGAAGCTCTTTCCACACTCAGAACATTTAAAGGGTTTCTCCCCCGTATGTATTTTTTGATGTATTTTGAGGTTGCCGCTGTTGCTGAACGCCTTTCCGCATATGGAGCATTTATCCAGCTTCTCCCCTGTGTGGATTCTTTGATGTGATTTAAGGATTATTCTTTGACTGAAGCTCTTTCCACACTCAGGGCATGGATAGGGCTTCTCCCCGGTGTGGGTTCTCTGATGTCTTTTAAGGTGTGTGCTATGACTGAAGCTCTTTCCACATGCTGGGCATGTATATGGCTTTAGCCCTGTGTGGATTCTTTGATGCTTATTCAGATTTGAGCTCTGGCTGAAGCCCTTTCCACACTCTGCACATTTGTAGGGCTTCTCCCCTGTGTGCATTCTTTGATGGGACTTAAGTTCTGGGCTGCGACTGAAACCCTTTCCACACTCGGGACATTTGTAGGGCTTTTCCCCCGCGTGGATCCTTTCGTGCCTTTTCAGGTTCCGGCAATCGCTGAAATCCTTTCCACAGGTGGAGCACGTATAGAACTTCCCCCCAGCGTGAATACTCATGTGCCATTTCAGGCTTATGTTGTGACGGAAACACTTTCCACACTCAGAACATTTGTGGGGCTTCTGGCTTGTGTGGGATCTTTGGTGAAAGGTAAAGTCTGAGCTGCAACTGAATTCCTTCCCACACTCTAAGAATGTGTGTGTTTTCTCTCCCACATGTATTCTCTGATGCTTAATAAGGTGCAAGTGACAACTAAAGCTCTTACCACACTCAGAGCATTTAAACATTGCCTCCATGTTGCAAGTATCCCTTTCGCTTCCTTCACAAAGTTCTTTTAGCAGCGGGAGCGCACAGAAGTCAGACCCTTCCAAAGCGATTGGTTTATCTCCCCATTTCTGCTTATCTCCGATTGTCACTCTCTCTTGAATGCTTTGCTTACTGTCCTTCCTCGCATCACCTGCAAAAATCAAAAGAGAAATCTGGTTTTTATCTATTTTATTTTAATTTCTATTTCTTCTATGTCTAGTCCTGGCTCTTTATTAATTGGGATATTTTTATCCCGTCCATTACGGATTGTCTCTGGATGGCTTACAATATAAAACACTGAATAAATCCATTAATCAACAAGAAGACACACAACTGAGGATATTAAAAAAAATCATCATTCAAATATTTAAATGTTCAAATATTGGGTAAATAAAAAGGTCTTGACCCAGCGCTGAAAAGCATATAATATTGGGGCAAGGCAGACCTCTCTGGGGACCTTGTTCCACAGTTGGGGTACTACCACAGAGGAGGCCATGCTCCAGGGAGTCACTCTCCTGACCTCCTTCAAGGAGGGTTCCCGCAGCAGGGAGTCTACCTCAGATCTTAAGGGGCGGGAGGGCATATAGGGATTTTTTTTTTTTTTAGACTTTTGCATATAGGATGGGATAGAAATATTTTATATAAATAAAAAAGACATTCTGTCACGTATGCTGGTCCCAGGCCATTGAGGGCTTTACAGGTTAATACCAGCGCCTAAAATTGGGCCTGGACTTCAATGGGGAGCCAGTGAAGCTGGTAGAGGACCAGTGTTATATGAGATTAGTGACCGACCCTCAACAGCAATCTGGCCGCAGTATTTTGAACCAACTGAATTCTCCAGAGTGTCTTCACGGGCGGCCCTTGCGTGCTGCAGTAGTACAAACGGGAGGTTCCCAGAGCATGTGTCTCCATTGCCAGGCAGTGCTTGTCCAGGTAAGGATACACCTGTTGGACCAGCTGAAGCTGGAGGAAGGCATTCCTCACCACTGCCATCACCTGGGCCTCTGGGGACAGCTCTGGGTCAAGGAACACTCTCAGCTTGATCAAGGAGCAACTTCAATAATCCTGTTTGGTAGGAGCAAATCTGTCTAGTTATATTAAGTTATTATATTAATACATAAGTATGCTTAGCACACGGAAGATCAGCTCCTGATATTCCCATGGAAAGGTATTCCATGGCAGGTCTCCACCAGAATCCTTGGAAGTCAATATAAACGATCAAGAAAAGCCAATCAAGAAAGGAAAAGGTTACCAAAATTTGCCACAACAAAAGGAGAAGAGTGCTATTTGTGGGAGATTCCTTCTTGCGCAGGATGGAAAAATACGTATGTCACGATGACCCAGAGAATCTCCAAGGATGCTGTCTCCTTGGCATCAAGATTAAAGTTCACACAGCTCATACAACCCACTGACAAACACCTCTTCCTTCTCTTCCATGTGGAAACTAACAACACTGCCATGGGAAGCGTTGCTGAAAGAACATCAGACTTTGAAGTTCTAGGGAGTAAAATCAAAACACTGGGGCCAGATAGTCCTCTCCTCAATCCTACCAGTACATGGAACAGGAACTGTTAGAGAAAGAAAAATCCTTCAAGTAAATGACTGGTAGTGCCATAAAGAGAGATTTGGATTCTGGGAGCACAAGCTAAGCTTCCTGGAAGATGGGACTACTGGCAAATGATGGGTTGCATCTCATAAAGAACGGGAAGCAGCTATTTGGCCACCACATGAAAAAGTTCATCAAGAGAGACTTAAACTAGAACCTAAACTAGAACCTATCACTTGGCAAAGACTTATAAATTTCAAAAGAGAAAAAATCTCAAGCAGGGCCCAACAGCAGTCTCTCAAAAAACATAGGAAGAAAATCAGGGCTCGGCAAGAATGAACTTTAATGTCTCTACACCAGTGCCCAGAGTACGGGAAACAGAAAATGCAAACTCGATCTCATATTACATGAGTGCAATTAGAATCTTTAGAAACATAGAAACGGAGTGAGTCAGAAGGGGCCTCCCGGGCCATCTGGACTGATCCCTGGCTCCAGCCAGCTCCACTCATGACATGCCCACCATGTGCACGTCCAGCCTGTCCTTGAACGCCCTCACCGATGGGGCCTCAACCACCTCCCATGGAAGCCCATTCCATACCCTTGGGATCCCAACCGTTAGGAAGGACTTCCTGGCATCCAAATTGAACCTTAGTTCCTTTAGCCTCACTCTGTTGGAACGTGTCCTGCCCTCCTCTGCAGGGGAGAACAGGTCTCTCCTCACCTCTGTGGGACACCCCCTCAAGGACACCCCCTCAAGATGTCGCCAATGAATCCCCTTGAAGTCTCCTATTCTCCAGGCTGAAAAGACCCAGTTCCCTCCGTCTTGCCTCATACGGCTTTTCCTGCAAACCGGCCGCCAACCTTGTGGCCCTGCGCTGCACTGACTCCAGCCTGGCTATATCCTTCCTGTAATGAGGGGCCCAAAACTGAACACAATACTCCAGAGTCATACAGAGTGGTAGTAATATCCCTCTCGATCTAGAAGCCACACTTCTGGCTATACAACCCAGGGTGCCATTCGCCCTCTTGGCCACCGCATCACACGGCTGGCTCATGTTCAGTCTGCAGTCAACCAGCACCCCGAGGTCCCTTTCACAAGTGCTGCTCTCCAGCCACTTGTCCCCAAACCTTTACTTATGACACATATTCCTATGCCCCAAGTGTAAGACCTTGCACTGATCCACACTGAAGGCCATCCTGTTGTCTCCTGCCCACTTCCATAGCCTGTCCAGATCCTTCTGGATCCAGAGCACCTGCTCTTCCATTGTGGCCACCACCCCGTTTTAGTATCCTCTGCGAATGTGATCAGCAGACGGGTCACCCCTTCTTCCATGTCATTGATGAAAAGATTAAACAAGATCCGCCCCGTTCAGAAATAACTGAATCCTGGTGGGATGACTCACCTGACTGGAACTCTACAATATATGGATACAACAGAAATAACAAACAGGGGGGTGGGGTTGCACTGTATGTGAGAGACACATAATCTGCACAGAAGAACAACTTAGTAGCCCCATTGAAAGCATCTGACTAAATTTAAAGGGAGCAAAAAATAAGAAAAACATAGTTGTTGGCATATATTACTGTCCACCCAGTCAAAAAGAGGATAAGGATGCAACCTTTGAAAAGCAACTTGCCAGCATTTCCAAAAAGAAGGATGTAGTTATTATGGGGGACTTCAATTTCCCCAATATATGACGAGAGACAAATTCTGCCAAGCATGTCCCCTCCAAGAAATTCCTGACATGTGTGGCCAACATTGCTCTCCAGCAGAAAGTAGAGGAAGGTATAAAGAAGATCAGCTATCCTTGATTTAATACTAACTAACAGGGATGGGCCGGCGAACAAAATAACAACCATGGGAACTCTGGGGGAAAGTGACCGTGCGATACTTGAATTCTCAATTATGAAGGAGAGAAAGGGTAACTGGAGCCAGACATACATCTTGGACTTGAAGAAAGCCAACTTTAATGAACTCAGAACAATGTAAGTCAAAGTGCCCTGGCAAGACACTCTTCAGTGGAAAGGCATCCAAGAGGGGTAGGAAATCTTGAAAAGGAAGATCCTTGGAGGACAACTACAAATGATTCCATCAAGAAAAAGTGCAGAAGACAGCAGAGGAAGCCCACAGGCTCCCCAGAAGGTTCAGTGAGAGACTGAAAGAAAAAAAGAACATGGACAGGAAGTGGAAGCAGGGCCAGGCCACGAAGGAAGAATAGGAACAAATAGTAAGGAATTGCAGGAATAGCATCAGGAAGGCGAAGCAGGAAATGAACTGAGAATAGCAAGGGATGCTAATATAACAAGACAGCCTTCTTCAGATACATCCAGAACAAAAGACATGAGAAAGAGAAGGGTGTGATAATAGACAAGAAGGAAAAGGCAGAGGCATTCAATTCCTACTTCGCAATTGCTATTTTGGGATGCATTAACAGAAGTATGATTTCCAAGCCACGAGAAGTAGTAGTTCCTCTATAATCCTCACTAGTCAGACCTCCCCTGAGATACTGTGTCCAGTTCTGGGCACCAAGATTGAAGAAAGATGAAGGTAAATTAGGAAGGGTCCAGCGGAGGGCAACAAAAACGATTCGGGGTTTGGAAATGCTGCCCTGCGAGGAGAGTCTGAGAGAACTGGGCATGTTCAGTCTTGAGAAGAGAAGACTGTGGGGGGACATGAGATCCCTCTAGAAGGACCTCAAAGGCTGTCACAAAGGGGAAGGTCAAGGTCTCGTCTTGCTGATGCCAGACTGGAGGACATGGAACACTCAATTTAAGTTGCGGCGACCCAGATTCAGGCTGGATGTCAGGAAAAGACATCCGTGTGCAAAACAGAGCTGCCAGGTTGCTGACGGGGACTGGGCATTGTGTTCACATAACTCCAGTCCTCCGTCAGCTTCACTGGCTCCCCATTGAAGTCCGGGCCCAATTCAAGGTGTTGGTTATCACCTATTAAGCCCTTAACGGCTTGGGTCCTGGTTACCTAAAGGTCCCTCCTGCCCTCCCGGTGCCCTCCCACCCCTTGAGATCAGTGGCAGAGGCCCTTCTCCGGGAGCCCTCCGTGAAGGACATTAGGAGGGTGAGTACCTGGAGGAGGGCCTTCTCTGCAGTGGCGCCCCATCTGTGGAATGTGCTCCCCAGAGAGGTCCGCCTGGCGCCGTCGTTATTTGCTTTTCGGTGCCAGGCCAAGACCTTTTTATTTAAACGTCATTTTAATTGCTGATTTTATTTATTGATTTTAACAAATGTGGCCAGGATGTCTCCAACTGTATTTTATTGTACTCATGATATTTATTTATTTGTAAGCTGCCCTGAGGCTTAGGCGAATAGGGCGGCATATAAGTCTGCTAGCTAGCTAGCTAAATAAATAAGCAAGCTTCCTGACTGTCAGAGCAATACAACAATGGAACCAGCTGCCTGGAGATGTGCTGGGTTGCTCCTGCTGAAGACATTCAAGAAGAAACTGGAGTGGGACAGATTGACTTTGTCATTGAAGGAGAAAGAAGATACTGATTTCTATCAAACTTGGGACTCTTTTTATTATTGCCTAGAGAAACGGGACTTTGTATAGATTTAAATATGTTTTTAAGTTATCATAAATAGAAAAAAAGTGGGGGCTGACCCAGCAGGTCCGATGTTTCTGATGATTGATGTTGTTTTTAGTTTTCCTTTGTTTTAGGGTTATTTTGAATAAAACTTATTATAAAAACAAACTGGAGTGGGATGGTGGAAGTCGGCGTGCTGAAACAGCAGGGCTTGGACTTGATGGCCTTCATAGCCCTTCCAACTCCACTATTCCATGGTTCTATCATCTAGGGCAGTGATGGCGAACCTTTTAGAGACCGAGTGCCCAAACTGCAACGCAGAACCCACTTATTTATTGCGAAGTGCCAACACAGCAATAAAACCTGAATTTGCTGACCACCAGCACAAGGAGGCAACATTCCACTGCTATCAGCTTTTGGCCGGCCCTGTACAAGGCATCTGAGTGTATTTCCTGCCTTTCCTACCTTCTGCTAAAATCACAGTCCAAGCAAATCCCCGGCAGCTCACTGACTGGCCATGTGGAAGCTCTTCAAGTGACCTCGTTGCCTGGTGCCCTTAATCTTGCTGGGGAGATCGCGTGCTGACGGAGGGCTCTGCGTGGGTACGTGTGCCACTGGTGCACCATCACTGATCTAGGGGGTTGGACTCGATGACCCTCATGCCCCCGTCTAACTCTACTCTTCTGTGGTTCTAATATTGGGGGGAATTAGCACATTGTTTTTAAGGCCTAACTTGCAACAGATAATTCTCCCTCAATGTAAACATGCAGCAGCTCTCCCCCAGTTGATAGGAGTTTCTTATGTCGCTTGTTCCTGGCTGTTTCTCCGACAGATCTCACCAGTGTAATACTGGCAGCTCAATGCAATTTAGTCTGCCGGGGAAACGCAAGCCTGCTCCACTTGACTGACACCTCCCACAGATCCGAGCACTTACAGGGTGAGTCTTCTCCTTCGTCAGAGCCCACCGCAAATGGATCTTCCTGTCCAGAGATGAGATCAGATCTGGGGACTGCAAGCCCTTTAAAAAACACAGACAGAGAATTCTGCTCAGTCGCTTCCACATAACAAACATATATAATGAACATTGGAGAATTTGAAAGCACCCTGTCAAGAGCCCCACCAGACTCAGAGGAAGGATGGCAGCTTGCAGCTCCTCCGCATCCCCACATAAAAAATGTTCATGCTTGGAATGAGATGCCTCAGACTTGCCCATCATGCTTTGCAATCATGCTGATGGCTCTTGACGGGGAGTCCTTTCTGGGGAACCAAGCCTTAACTACAGAGCAAAGTATCCTCTGAGAATACACCTCGAGACTGAGCCAAGAGGCTCCCTCCAACACGCAAACCTCTGCACTGACTACAAAACAGATGCAAAGCCAGGGCAGAAGAGGCTCCACGATCCGATCAGCTCAGCAGACTTGCTGGATTTTACCACAGCAAGAAATACACTGTCTCATTAATGGAGTACCTCTGGAATGTGAACCAGTTACTGCTGTCCTACTGCATTGCCCCAAAAATAAGACCTAACTTGAAAGGAAAAATAAGACCTCGCCTGAAAATAGGCCCTGATGCATCTTTTGGAGCAAAAATTGATATAAAATTAATATAAGACCCGGTCTTCTTTTAGGGGAATGATGGTAGTATGCTATTCCCAGCGTCAGGGGCAGTATGTCAACATATACTAGCTATTGGAGACCATGGGCAGGATGGTATTGTATTTGTGTTCATGTCCTTTTTGTGGCTTCCGTTAGGGTCATTTTATTTATTTATTTACAACCTTTCTACCTTGTCCTTCCCAATAAAATGTCTCAGGACGGCTTACAATAATAAACAGCAATATTAATAAAATTACGACAGAGATAATAATACAATCACTACAACAATAAATAACAGAGCAATAAATAAGTATCTTCAAGCAAAGGAACAAGAAAGAAAATGCGACTGCAGTCTTAAAACATCTAAAATCCCTTCGTTGTTAAAATAACGGTTAAATAAAAAAGTTTTCACCTGGCACCGAAAGGAATATACAGTCGGCATCAGGTGAACCTCTCTGGGAAGCGCATGCCACAATCTGGGCACCACCGCAGAGAAGGCCCTGTTCTGGGTGGACACTCTCTTTACTTCCCCGTGCTTGGTCCCTGTGGAAAACAAGCTGCAGAAACAAGGAGACTTTAGTCTGATCTTGATTCGGGGTTATGTTACAAAGGCAAACAGGGCGTCTTACCCAAGGAGGCAAAATTCCGACAGTGCCACAGGTCTGCCTGCTGTCCCGGTGATAGACACTCCCGCAGGGCTCCCACCGAGCACACGCCTCCTCCCCCGTGAAATGCTGTGAAATGCACGGCCATCTCCTCGAAGGTTACTAGATCCTGGAAGAAGTGGAAAGCGGTAAGCGTTTTTTCATAGCGGCTCGAAAAGAGTGGCCAAGCAGAGACGGCTGGGGGCGGGGGGGGTCCTGTGGTTCTAGCCACCGGTCCACAAACAAGCCAGGCTGGGAAAGAGCTGCTGCTGTCCCACTTGCCAAGACCAGCTGCCGATTCCGGCATCTTCCTCAGCTGCGGAGGGGAGAGGCAGCTCCCTCGGAGCCAGCTGGAGCTGTGCCAGGCCATGAGCCCCCCACCCAAGGACCAGCCCTTTCCCTTTTCCTGCTGTGTTTCCTCCTGGGAAATGCTGCGGCAGGGTCGTGCTGAGGGTGTCGTTTCCCAGCCAATCTGGGGGTTTGAGTGGACAAGGTCCGTTGTACCGCATTATTTAACAGTATGAATATATATATTTACAGTGGTACCTTGGCTCACGAACTTAATCTGTTGCAGAACTCTGGTCGTGACCCAAACTGGTTGTGAGCCAGGTTAAATTTCCCCATAAGGTTCAGTGTAAATAAGGTTAAGCCGTTCTGTAACCATTTTTTAAATCAGAAAAATGTGAAGCAAAGTGACAACAACAAAGATTGCCCACCCCAAGCACAAGCGCGGCCATCTCCCACCCCCCCCCCCAGCACGACCGAGATCGCGCCTGTCATCCCTGCAGGTGCCCGTCATCCCGGCGCACTGGAGAGTGGGGTGGGGGGAGACATCGGGAGACATGGGCGCAACCGGTGCGCTGGGGTTGAGGAGATGGCCATGATCGCAGTTCCATTCGTGCAGGGAAGGCGTGCCTGATCAGAGGTGTGCTCCTGCAGGAAAGACAGGTGGACTCTCGGCCATCTCTCCTGTGGTTCTGCTTTGCTGCTTCTGTCTTTCCTGCAACAGCTGGCCTCTGATCACGCACGCCTTCCCTGTATGAACAGAGCTGCAACTGTGGCCGTCTCCCCACTTGGGGGTGGGGGGAGATGGCTGCGTTCTTGGTCGCCACCCAAGCGGTGTCCGCCACCCAAGTCAAAGTTTTGCAGAAATCTTTGTTCATGACCCGATTTGTTCGTGAATCAAGGTGTTCGTGATACGAGGTACCGCCGTATTTGTTTCGAACATTTCTATCCCACCCTTCATGACGTCGCAGGACATCTTGTAGAAAACTTTTCTATACCATCCCATTCTTAAAAGTCTCAGGACAGTTTACACCACATTGGTCTAAAAAATAAAAATAACAATTGTTTACCATCCAATATTAAAATAGAACCCCGCCCCCCCCCACAACACTAAAACCAGTTAATTAAAATTCTCGGAGAATAAAAAGAGTTTTGCCTGATGGTGGAAGGATAGAAGTGTTGGTGCCAGGCACACCTCTCTAGGGACTGTGTTCTGCAATCGGGGCACCACTGCAGAGAAGGCCCTGCTCCGTGGAGTCACCCTCTTGAGCTCTTACTTAGGGTACTGAGTAAAGTTTGATTTCGTGCTACTCTGCTGCAAATATTGCATTTGAATTTGTATTTGCTAAGAGTATAGCACTGCATTTATGTTGATTTTGTATTTTGCTGTTGTAAATTTTGGATCAAGTATTCTTAAAAAGCAACACCAAATTCTACAGTATTTATTTAAAACATTTTTACCCCATCCTTCCCGATAAAACGTCTCAGGATAGCTTACAATAATTAAAAACAGTAATAATAATAAAATTACATTCAGCAATAGTAACACAATAACTGTAATTAATTATTAATATGCAATTAATTATTGTAATTGCAATTAATTAGTAGCCTAATTTGAATGCCATATTGCTCTCTAAACATTTCAGTTGCATTCAATTCCATGGAATTACAATCTTTTATTCTTTTCTTAGCATTGTTACTGCTCAGTTTCTGGCTGTTTTAGAAAAGTTTTCTTTGTGGGTCCTTTATTTAAAAACAAATACACAAATTACTGTATTATTTATGTATTTATTTTATTAGGGGTATTTCTAACCTGTCCAATTACTGTATGTCTCTGGACAGCTTACAATAAATCACCCAATAAATACATAAATATTATGTACATAATGCTTATTTCTGCCCTAGTGGTCCCCAGAATTATTCTATTTTTGCTGGTCCCCCACTGTAAAAAGGTTGAAAGTTTTCAACCACTGGCCCATTTTAATAATTAAAATTTTAATAATAATTAATAATAATTTTACACAGTCACACATTATTTTTTTCTTTTTCCTTTCTTTCTTCCTTGCCTTTAGTTTGAAATGTTGTTCATGTTGAGTTATTACTGAATAATAATAATGTATTTTTCTATTATTATTTTAACCTTTTGTAAGCCATCCTGAAGCTTGTTGCAAAGGATGGGATAAAAATGTTTTAAATAAAATAAAATAAAAAAATTCCACTTGCCGTGGACCAGCCTGGGAGTTGGCTATGCTCTATCATGTTTGTGGGGGTATGCTGGTGCCGCTGCAGGGGCCAGCTCAGTGGGAGCAGGCTAGCAGCCACGCTGTGTGATTTCGGTATTTCGTTTTTTGTTGGCATCTTTTGTTGCTTGGTTTCTGCTAGTTTTCAAGAAGAGAATTTTTCTCTTTGTGGAATTGTGTTTGGAAACTAATACACAAATACTGTATTATGTGTGTACTGCTTTTTGTTTCTGCCTGAGCAGTGACTTTCCTGTTTCTGCAGGTCCCCAGCTGTGAAAAGACTGTTCTACAGCTCCAAAGGTTCCTTAGCAACTTTTCAGAGGAGGAGGAAACAGATTATCCTCCTCAGGCCCAAAGAGAGGTGCCAGGATGGAGCCTCCCCACTACATTTGTCTTCCCAAGGATCCTTCTTACCTGCTCTGGCTGCTCAGATGAGGTTTCCATTCCCACATAAAGTGGAGATGGCCGGCATGGCACTCTGAGCATCATCCCATTTCCTAGTGGAAAAACGAACAGGAAGAACAAGCATTTTCAATGATTTAGGAATCAATCTTTCCACATTTAATTTTCAAGCTCAAGTCAAAGTGTTGGTTTGGACGCATGTAAAGTCTTCATTTATTGAGGAAGAAGCCTCCTTTATAAAATATGCATTTCAGTCATCTCTAAGAGATTTATTGTTACGATGGTCCCATCCTGGGACCTTTGGAAAGGACAGGGTAAAATATTGTAAACAAACAAACAAGCCAAACAAGATGTTATTTATTTATTTAGTTAAAATATTTCTATCCCATCCTATATGAAAAAAAGTCCCAGGATGGCTTACAAAAATTATAACGACTGATAACAACAACAAATCACTACCATAAACAAGGGAAACATAATGCCAGATCGAGAGAAAAAGAAAAAGTGACTGTGAGAGTTAAAACCGATCAAAATGTCTAATTCTTAAAATGGCGGGTAAATGAAAAGGTTTTCACCTGGCACCGAAAGGAATACAAAGTCAGCGCCAGGCGAACCTCTCCGGGGAGCACGTTCCGGACTCTGGGGCCACTGCAGAGAAGGCCCTGCTCCGGGTGGAGACCCTCTTTACCTCTTCCAGGGAGGGTTCCCAGAGCAGGGCCTCCTCTGCAGATCTTAGGGGGTGCAAGGGCGTGTAGGGATGGAAGAGCCCCACACGGAAGTGTTCTTGCTTACCTACTGCGATGGCACCTCCACCGCCCTCCTGCACAACGCCTTTGAGCAGCGGATTCTGCGTGGTGCTGGATGGGCCCTTGCCTGCCTCGGGGTTCACACAAACCGACGCTCCTGGTCCCTGAGACACAGACGAGGAGGAAAAAGAAGAATTAAGAAAGGCCCCGCCGGACAAAAAGCCAGCCGTCTCTCGATCTTGTGTTTCTGGCGGGCAGGACTCGTTGCAAAGCGACTGCACACGGTTTCCAGGCATGCACAGACCTACATCTTGGGGCAGGCGAACTGGTACGGGGACAAGATGAGGACAGGGCAGTTCACAGTCCCCTCCATTCACTCCAGCACTTACGGGTTATTATATGTACCTGTCGGGTGTTCTGCTTGCAAGCCATTCACAGACGTGGAGCCATCGGATGGGATAGAAATAACCGAATAAATAAAGGCACTGGACCAAGGCTGCCCTCTGACCTTCACCGCTGCCCTGGGGAGCCTCCAAGAAGAGGCTGAGCTACACAATCCCTGGGTAAGGTGGGGATGGGATCGGGGCAGCCCTTTTTGGGGGAACATCCAGGAAGAGGGGAGGCTGCGCTGCGTGGGGGGGGGATGCTGCTGCTGCTCTCGGCCCTTGGACCCCTCAAGAGACCCGCTCTTACCTTCTGCTCTTCCCACCGCTGGTCCTCCTCCTCCTCCTCCCGGGCCTGGAGGAACTCTTCCGCCAGGGCCACCGCCCGCGCCGTGCTCCCCGGCCCGCGCGCCCGGACCCAGCTCTCCGTCTCCGCGGGCAGGACGGCTAGGAACTGCTCCAGGACCACCAGGTCCAGCATCTGCGCTTTCGTGCTCCGCTCGGGCCGCAGCCACGCGCCGCACAGCTCCCGCAGGCGGCCGCACACCTCGCGGGGCCCCGCGGCCCCCGGGAAGCCGAGCTGCCGGAAGCGCCGGCGCTGCAGGTCGCGGGCGGCAGCCTCCTCGGCGCTCGGGCCGCGCCCCCACCGCGGGGCCCCCTCCACGGCCGCCCCGCGCGCCTCCCCCGGCTCCGGCGCCCCCAGCAGAGGGCAGGGCGCCGCGTTGCCCGGGGGCCGGGCTCTGCCCCGGGGAAGGCGCGGCGGCGGCGCGGGCGGCCACCCCCCCCACATCTCGCCGGGCGCCGGCGCCTCCCCGCGGTCTCCCGCAACGAAGGCCTCCTCCTCGCGCTCGGCGACGCAGGCTTCTGGCGCCTCGGCGCCTGGAGAGCGAAGGGTTAACGGCACTGTGGCGCCGCTGGCGTCCTAGAACAGCACGCGCCTCGCCCCCCCCCCCCCGCAGCGCCTCCTCTCGAGGCCGGGCGGCGCCGAGGACCCGCCCCGCTCGGCTCCTCTAGAGCCGGCGCCTCGGCGGCTGGCTATTTAAGGGTCGAAGCCACTGTGGCACTGTTGTGGTCCTAGAGCGGCGCGCGGGGGGGGAGGTGGGTCCTCCAGGGGAGCGGGCGCGGGGGTGCAACAAGCAGGGCTGCCCCTCCCCCGGCTCTTAGCAGGCTCTGAAAAGCGGGCGGCCCCTTCCCACGCTGCTGCTCTGGGGCTCCGTAACTTACACACACCTCCCCGCTCTGGTCAGGGACACACGGGGCGTGCGCACCGCCGGCTTCCGCCCGCCCGCCCCGTTCCTTCCGGGCCGTCTCCTTTCCTTTCCTCGGCGGCCATGTCAGGAGAGGCAGAAAGGGTAGCAAGAAGCCTCACATCGTCTTCAGGCAGCCATGCTGGGCGTGACGTCAAAGCCGGGACTTCGGCGCGGGGAAGTGATGCACGCTCAGACCTCGCCATGTTGGGCGTACCCAACGTAGAGGGTGACCTGTCCTGTCAGCCATCTTGGTAGTGGCCTGTTTCCGCAGAGGCGCGTCTCTAGATCCACGAAAGTGAAGAGAGCCAGATTGTGGCACTGCACGAAGGGCCACGGCTGTCCAGGCCCAGCCTGTTTCCCAGGAGGGGCGAAAGGGCTCCGTCGCTAATGATACCAAAAAGGAGTGTGGCGTCGACAGAGCCGCGTTTTACTCCTCTCAAATACAAACGACACGCAACAGACCCGTGAGTGGTGCGTGCAGTCTGTCTGTCTGTCTGTCTGTCTGTCTGTCTGTCTGTCTGTCTGTCTCTCTCTCTCTCTCTCTCTCTCTCTCTCTCTGTGTGTGTGTGTGTGTGTGTGTGTCTGTGTGTGTGTGTGGGGGGGGGCTTTGTTCTAACGGGGGTGAACAGTATGGCTCTACGCTCAGCGGCAACGAAGGGATCGGCGGCGAGCCTGGAGTGCCCTCCTGTGGCCACTGCTGTGAATTGCAGCCTCCTGCGCCCACCAGCCCAAGTAAAATCAAACCAAGCTAAGCTAAGGATTTGGCCAGCCTTTGGTCTCATGAGTCATAAACACGTCATGGGTTTGTTTGTTTTTTTTAATAGAAATTTTACTAGGATTTTAAAACTAAAACTACAAACAACAATCATCGCACACACCGGGTTTACTGGATCAGCCCCCTAGTACCTATCTTTTAACATTCTATGATCATACTAGAACCCATTTAGAATAACTTGAAAGCATCATTGGATCAAAACCAGGTCCCGTTTCTCCAGCCAATAAAATAATAATAATGATAATAATCCAAATTTGATAGAAGTCACTATCTTCCTCTTCTTCATCTATGAAATCAGTCTCATTATTTCCTACTAAGTCCTGTTTCTCTTGAGCAATGTCAAAGGGAAGCATCTCCAAGTTAAATGAAATTGGGATATTCTCTTTCTCCTTCAGTGGTAAGTTTGATCTAAACATTTCTGGACAGTTCAAAATCTTTTCAATTTTCTAATAGTAAATAACTTCCTCACTACCACAATTACATGTAAACATCAAAAATATCCATTTAACATCTCTACAATTGTCTTAACTACTCTACTTGGTGATGAATAATACTTTTAATATCTTTTAGAACATTTTTCTTTAAGCTAAATTACTAATGTTTCATCTCACTTAAACACCAATTAATCAAATATGGTTAGCTCCATATAAAAGCCCAGGTGTTTACAGTCTAACATATATCATCAACAACAGTAGCTTATTAGGAATACAGTCAAAAATATCCATTTAACAATAATACCTTTTAAACAGGATTTCATTAAGCTAAATTGCTACTATTTCAC